GCTAACTCACCACTGCAGGACAACATGAACTGGTGACACTGTTGTCTGTGTGACAGAAGAAGGTGAAGTCACCCTCTTAATTGTGGGGTTAGCAATTCTAATCCAGTAGTGTTTTTGTCAAATTCAGCTAATATCTCGATCTGCTAGCTGTCTGTTCTGTGTGTGTGCTGAAAACAATCTGGTGTTTGTACTCAGCCCTGGCTCTGTAAATGGGAAACAAACAAAGTGACTCAGACAACGCCACATAACACTATTCCAGTCATTCCAGCCATGATTTGAACTTGTGAGTTTCGCTGTCTGGAGCTGGTGTGCTGGCTCTGGGACCGCCTTGTCCTCTCTACATGTTAGCTTTGCAGCAGCAATAGCAACAGTATGCTAACCCACAACTTAGCTAACGTTATTTACATTACTTGCTGTGTTTTTTTTTGCTGCATATCATGGTTTTTGTCATGGTTTTGAAGTACTCCAGAATAGCTTACTCCACTTTAAAGCCTGTGCAGCAGACTGGACACAGATTGGTGCAATTACTTTACTGTGCAATACTGCAGCTGAGGACAGAGAAAAATAAAATTATAGTACACACACACCATAACACACGCCCGGAGGAAGCAGATCTGTGTAATTTAAATGGTAAAGGGGCTGGTGGTTACATAGCAACCTTTAATAAACAATGGCTGTAAGATAGAGACAATGATAATGAGAAGTACAGAGTGAGAGAGAGGAGAAACTGAACTCTGGCTCTCTGTCTTTTGAGGTTACATGGTGTTGAGTTTCAGAGCAGGGATTTGTTAAGGACATGTGTGTGTGTGCCTGCGTATGTGTGTACACTATGATACAGTGTGTTTAACAAAGCCGTAAAAGCTTTAACTGACTGAGAGAGAAAGCACACACATGCACGCAAACAGAAACCCACAGATGCACTCGCACAGAGACAAACCGCTCCAGAGAGTGTGGATCAGATCTGAAAAGGAAACAGCAAAACAGAGCAGCAGACTATAAATAGATCTCTGCCTTGAAAGAAAGATTTATCTCCTTCTTCTGCCATCTATCTATCTATCTATTCAAATTTTTGCTGATAGTTTAACGAGGCAATTGATACAACTCTCATGTAAAGTCGGTTAGCTTAGCTTAGCATTAGTATGATTAGCACATTATATTACAATTTATGAGGAAAGGAAATTTCAAAATATAAAGTGCTTTAGAGGTGCCGGTAGGTTGAACAGAGCCATACTAACCATTTCTCTCAGTTTACAGTCTGTATGCTATGCTAAGCTAACCAGGTGCTGGCTGTAGCCATATACTTACCGTACAAACAATCAAATAAACTCTTTGCAAAATGTCAAACCATTGTTTTAGAATTAGTTTTAGCTTACTTGGATAAAGACGGCTGAGGGATGAAGTGAAAAAAATTGATCAATAGATGGACCTCAGAAGAATACATGACCTGTTACACAGGGAGAGAAAAAGACAGAGAGAGATGCTGTGGTACCTGTGGCGTCATGTAGTCCCAGCCCAGAAGAGATCACAGCCAAACATAACAATAGTGTGGATTTACAACAAGTGCCTTCCAAGTGCTTGAGGCACTTTCCAGTTTTCACGGCTACTTAAAGTGTGAGTGTGTGTGCACGCTCTGAGTGGAGTGTGTTTTTATGGGCATAAAAGCTAGTCCCCAGCAAATGTCTGTGACTCAATCACAAATTTCAACCATATTACCACTGCAAATGTTTTTTTCGTTTCTTTGTTTTTACTTTAACACATACCATATTGTATAGTAGCAAGTATATTGACAGTACAGACATTAAGCTAGCAGTAACATACACACCAACCATACAGTATGTGTGAGTGTGCATGTGTGTGTTGCGTTCAGCATTCTTCTCTCTCTCTCTCATCTCTCTGTCTGCAAAAAAGTTTCCCCAAATCCCTATCTATTCCTTAAATACTATGGATATACTCATTTCCTATATAGATACCAGACTCTGATGGATCACAGAATTTGGTGAATCAATCGTGACCCCTCTCTCCAGTTCACTGCATGTCTCTTTTCTCTCTCTTCTCTGTCTCTCTTTGTTACATCTCAATAACGTCAATAGACTCTCTCTTTCTTCTCGATGCACCTGTTCCCGCCTCCTCTATACGCCTCTTCACTTTCATTTCCCTCCAAATCCACTCGGCTATATCGAAAACCCTGCAGTCTATTACAGCTTTCTCTGCTTGCTCTTGTGTGAAATCTTTTCTTCTTCCTCCCCTGGAATCTCTTTCTCCCTATCTTCCCAGTCATGTCTCACTGCAGCTATTCTCCCCTCTCTCGCTGTCTTTCTCTGTCTTCATCCACCCGTCGGTCCCTGTATCTTCATCTCTGCCTATGTGAACCTCCTCTTTCTTCTTCACACCCTTCCACCTCTCTCTCACCATCTGTCTCTGTCCCTCAGCCCCTCTGCCTCTTCACTTACACCTGGATCTATGCTTTCATCCCTCTTCTTCTTCACATGCCTGCCTCGCACATCATTACCTTCCCCTTTTCTTCCTCCCGGACACTATTTCTCTCAGTCTTTCCTGTCTTCCTCAACCGTGTGATAGGATTAAGGCCCCATGTGTCTCGTTCTCTCTCTTTGATTTATTTTTGTTGCCATTTTTTGGTGGCTTTGTTCTCATTTTCTTGTCATCATTTCCTTAATTTACCTATTCCCCCTTACTCTACCTGTCTCCCCATCTTTCTTTATCTGTTTTTCCAGAGGTGAGCAGAGGTAGTGATAGTCTGTAGTACTATCAGTATGCAGAGTCATGGTGCTGTGGCTCTGCCGTCACTGATTGAACTAGCAGCTAAATATAGACACTGTTGAGGCTCAGCATCTTTGGAAAGAGGGATGGATGAAAGGATGGAAGGATAGACACACATACAAACACACAGCTGTAAGCTATAGTGTTAGAGAGTAAATAGTGGATATACACATAATAAACCAGTATGACATGAATGCATACTCATGGCAGCAGTCAAATGCACGTGAATATTCACATGGATAAAAATGTTGAAAGGTAGCGCGCACCCACACAAATACACACACATACAGACAATTCCGTCAGTACGGTCCCGCAGGGTATTATTGGTTGCACAGAAAAATAATTCCATTTGAGAGAAGGAGGCGTAACACATGGTCTGACCTTTTTACACATTCATTACAGAGAGCTGCTTGGAAAAATATTTATGGGACACACACACACACACACATACGCACCTACAACAGTAACTCGTCCCTTTCTAGACAGATTGCTCTAGGCTATAACAACATGACAAACCATTACTATTCAACACACGGCATAAATCCAGAGCTGCAAGCCTTCACACAAGCTGAGCAGAGATAAAGGAAATGCCACAGACAGACAGACAGAGAGAGAAAGGTAGACATGCAGCCAAATGGAGAGTTAGACAGGCAGGATGACAGACAAAGACAGAATATTGGCAACTCAATTATAACCCAGACAGACAGGTGAAGTGAGAGGCAGACAGGTGAACAAACATCCAGTTAAAGAGATAAGCAGGCAGACGACTAGAAAACAACGCCCCCGTGATCCAGAGGATTTCACGCAGATTAAATTCATCGTAAGAACGTGTTTCTGGACCAGCATCAACACACCTGCTGGATATGTTTGTGTGTCTCATAAAAAATAGTTTGGTTGATAAATCAAAGATTAGTATTGTATCATTGTCCAGACAGCGTCATTTCAAGAACATTTTAGTTAAAGTATTTCTTTGGCTGTCGTTGCTTTGTATCCTTTTGTCACTGTTACTTTTAATTGTGATTCATTTAATTGGCTAGCCATATGGAACTGATAAGTATTTTTAAATAATGTATAATTTATGTGTTAATAGTTCCTTATCATGAGTATTTAGGCCTGGCCACTCTATTTAAAGGTTACCTGTGGAGTTTTTGACGTCTAGTAGTGCAAAGGAGCTGCTTCTCTCTGAGTGTTTTGTTTATATATAGTGCATTTGCATGATGACGCACATGCACATGCAACAGGTGGCAATAAAACACCAAGATATGCTGCAATGCACCAACAAAGGCAGGGAAGAAGAAGACTGCTATCGAGTAAAAATGGATGGAAAAAATGCTGGATTTAATTAATCACATTAGTTTTGGTGAATAACACTGAATGTATACATAACATTCGTTTGTGAAGAACAAAACTCCACACCATATATGATAAAATGTCAGTCAGCAAACATTTAAATACATATATTTTTTAATTGATTTCTTTCTCAAACTCAACCTCCAGCCAGCAAGACTTGAAAAAGGTTGTTCTGTCTTTGTAAATGTTCTGTGTCAAAGATGAAACTAATACAAACAGACAGCGATTTGTTGAGCCACAAACGGTAAGCTACTGCTGGGCTTCTACAAAGCAAGTTAATAAAGTAAACCTCCCAAACTACTACTGTTATTCTTTTTGTTCTTAATCTGCTGTGAAACCTAGAGAAAATTCAGCCGGGAAGGTAAGGGCAGATAGCTCTCTGTGTATAAAGTGTGAGACTAATAACGATGAAATTCGAAGTGAGCAAGATGAAGCTGTTGTGAAACAGCGATCATCAAGTTCTCAGGAGCAGGGAGGTCCAGTACAGTCGCATGAATTTTGGCTTTCTTTAATTGAAGAAAGTAAGACACTTTGTGTTTTTGGATGTGTTGTGTGTGTTGTGTATTGGATTTTTCTTTTGTACGTGTGCAGCATATAATGTAGTCCATTCTGTATAATAAAGACATGCTAGTCTTCTTTAGCTGAGATGAAATCTCTTGTCAAAGTACATTATTGGTGTTTTTAGGTCTTTGTTGGGACACACTTGTACTGATGTTGTTGTGGCGCAGGGATCTGATTTGAACTTGCACGCTGGACTTTGGGCATGAAGTAGCCTAAATGTCTATGCAGAGACATGTGTAGTGAAAAAAGACTCAACAATTAAAAGTTTGTACAGTTGCAATTTGCATTTACTAAACAACTATCTTTGCATGCAAGTGTTGCGTCTGTATTTGTTGCTTCATTCATAATACATGTAAACACATGCAAATGGCTGCTTACAGCAATATTCATCCAATGAAAGAGTAAAATTCTTCATATTTCTAAACATGTTTTGGGCCACACACGTGTTTAATTGTGTCATCATGATAGACATCACTGGATTAATTTTGCCATGCAGAATATAAGCTACACGATGTCATTAGAGGACCTGTGACATTCAGTCGAAACATCTGTGTCTTTTATTAGACAGTATGTAAAACCAGAGGCACTAAAAGTGGGATTCAAACCCACGACCTCACATCCTGTAATGCAGCTACAGAAGCAGATCCTGTGTCTGCTGTGCTGCAGTGACAGCACACCTAGAAAAACAGCCTTACCATTTAGCTACTACTCATCTGGCTTGGCTCCTCTACAGCTAAAGTGGTGGTGTGCAAGATGATGGAGCCCCTGCCAATAATAAAGCATTAGGATATTGAACTAAACTGATAAAACTGTCAATCACACAGAGGCTCCAGTAACTGTGAATGTGCATGGTAGATTTATTCTCCCTATTGTTTTCTTTTTTCCTTTCCACTATTTTCCTTATCTGTGTGCTTTGTACACGATTACTTCACATAGCATGCCAATGAAGTAAAGTAGAAAAGACCGAAATCACCTCAATCAAAAAATAACACCTTTTATGTGCAAGAATGCAGTGGATTTAAAGCAATGTTATCCTATTTTCATGTTTTTTTTACTTTAACATTCATACTTGACTTTTTGTGGCATATAAGCTTTTAAATAGCAAAGGGAGGGTTTATCTCTGTGGTGTACAAGGTGAATTATAGCTGCTAATCATAAATTAATATATTTTTATGGGTTATTTAAAAAATGTCATGCATATAATTTTCCTACTTTCTATGAGGTTTCTCTTAATAATATAAAGCAAACTGGATTCTGCAGGGGGAAAAAAGTTGATTACCATCGACGGTTTCATCCTCCACTCTAATGGTGTTTTTGAAAAGACTGATTGCAAAAGATGAACAGCCAGAGGCAACCCCCCTCCTCCTCCTCACCCCCTCCTCCTCCTCACCCCCTCCTTCCTCATCCGTCCATCCACGCTTCCTTTCCTCTGCTGCTGGATGCTGCGTTAGGAGCGCACGCAGGACTGTACCGGGGCTTCCCTTCTGTCTGATGGAGACGGGCTGAGGAGGGACCAGGTCCGGCCGGCGGAGACCACCTCGAGGATCCTGCAAGAGGGACTCCGCTCCTGCTGCTGCTGCTGCTGCTGTGAAGAGCCGGGGGAGCGGACACGAAACAGGGGAGCGAGAGAAGAGACACGGGAGGTAAAGGGGTCCATTAATAACCTGTTGTTTGTGTGTGTTTCTTTTTCATTTGCGGGAGAAAGCCCTGCGGTCTCGGCTGTTACAGAAAAAAACACAAGGACGGATTTATAAAGCGACATTTAAACCTTTTTGGACATGATTGGGATCGTTTAAATGATGATTAAGAGACAGAAGCGGAATAACTGAGAGAGAGCGTCTCTGCTGCTTCGCCGTCGTGTTTTTGCCTTTGATTAATTACAATTTTTAATGTTCTCACGCGCCTGTTTAATAGGCTAACAAGCCAAACACGTGAGCTTAATTGATCTGGAGTTAAACGCATTTAACCCAAAGATAGATTTATCCCCTAGGTGGCCTGCTAGAGGTGTGAAATCAAGTGTTTTGGCCCACTCTGGATGTTCTTTTTAACATTATGTAAGATGACAATAGTAACAGCAGCGTGATATAAAACTGCAATTCAATTATGGTCGCAGGCTGGAGCCTTTTAATTTAAACGAGGAAGGCTGAGAGCGCCCCCTGAAGTCTGCAAACGGAACATCTGCTGTGCTTTCTACGTATGTGAGTCTCCAGTGAATTAACATCATGATTAGGTTTAAAACAGTCACGCAGTCTTGACTCAATGTTTTACGTCCAGGGGAGGGAGCCTCTGTTTAATCACCTGCGTCCTTGTTTCCCTGCATCCTCTGGAGGCCAGGATGAGCCCAAATTACAGAGATGACAACTGTCTTACATCATCTGATCCTTCCACTTTCCCAGGCAGCTGCGGGTTTTAACATAGGAGCTCACCCTAAAAAAAGCAGCCGTGTTCCTGACTGAGTCGCTTCATCTTGTAGCAGAGCTGAAATGTAACTCGCAGGGCACCGGAGGCCGCAGGGTGGCTGTGTGCTACTGACAGAGCTGGGTTGTTTGCTGTGGCACCTCTCTGCATGTCCTCAAGTGTTTGTGTGATCACACAGGTGAACACAATGCAGGAGCTTTTATTTTGTGCGTGTTTGCATATGGAACATTGTCAATACCCATTTCTATTGATCTAGCCTGTAACAATAACATTTCCCTGTTGGCTGGAGGTAATGAAAGCAGGTTATTGAGCCATGGCTCAGCTGCTGTAATGACAGAAGGGAGACCTGATGAGAAGTGTTTACGTTTAAACATGGGGGGGGGGGGGGGGTGTCTTTGTTTTTCATTATACTCTCAATCATGTTTGATAGAGGGTGAAGATCAGCTGAAACAATTAGTTGATGGATTGATTAGATCCACAGAAAATGTATTATTATTTAAAAACTATTTTCATAAACGATTCAGGTATTTATCAGTTTTCAGTTTTGTCAGTTCAGTTCAATTCACTGCCTTTAATATATATATGTGTGTGTGTGTGTGTGTGATTGTGTGTGTGTGTCTATATACAGATAATTAAAATAAGATAGAAATATCTAACTGTAAATATCTTTTGGGGTTTGGACTGTTGATTGTACAAAAGAATAACAACATCAACCTGGGTTTCAGGAAATTGCAATGGGTGCATCATTAATTTTCTGACATTTTATGGACTAAACGATTAATCAATTAATGAAGAAAATAACACAGTCAGATTAATTGATAATGATAATAATCATCAGCCTATTGCATGATGATAAGTGTAATAAATAACAACAAGCTTTATATAGCAATAGCGATGGATGGATGGACCTTTACTTTGCATTTCCCAGAATTCAGTAGCTACTTAAGAAGCTTCATGTCAGGTGATTTATTTAAACTGACTTTATTGTTTACTGTTCTGGCTCATTATCCTGTGAAACTACAAATCTTAGTCAAACAGATAATTTATATTAACTACATATTATTTTCATTATTGATGAATCTATTTATTGAGTGTTTCAGTTAATTTATTAATTGAATTGTTTAGTCTTTAAAATGTCAGAAAATAGTGAAAAGGGCCCGTCACAATTCCCCCAAGCCCAAAATGATTTCTTCAGGTTGCTTGTTGTGTCTGAAATACAATAAAAAAAAAAAAATGTTCAGAGAAAAACAGCAAGTCCTTACATTTGAGAAGCTTGAACCAGTAAAAGGTTTTACTGATCATCAAAATTGTGGTTGATTAATTCTCTGTAGATGTTCCACTCTCTTCTATATTGTACGGTGATATTGCTGAATGCAGAGCTGCATTTTTGCTCATCTTGTCTGTCACTCAGTCATCCTTTGTTGCTCTGTTTCTCTCATTTAATATGCCTCTCACACGTCCACACACACACACACACAGCAAACTACGTTTCTTTGGGGTGTCTAACCTTGACACTTGTAACTGTCAGCCAGGCTCTGACAGATTGTTGTTTTTTTAATTCTATCTCTGCCTCTTCTTTTACATTTTAATTCTGTTTCTGCTTGTGTTTCCCGCTGCAGATCCTCCATCAACCGAAGGTCTCCTGCATCTCTTCCAGGACGTGTCGCGCTGATTGTGTTTAACATGCACAATCCCAAGAGTGTGTAGTGTCAAGGGGAGTGTTTTGTGTGAGTGTGTGAGAGGATACTTTAATCGCAGAGATGGGCTCGGTGGGAGCGGAGCGCCGCAGGCCCACTCCGGCCCAGACGCCCGAGGAGAGAGACATTTGGAGGGATGGAGGAAGAGCTGGATGGAGGGATGCAGGGAGGGAGGGCTGGAGAGAGGGAAGAGAGAGTGGCGTGGTGCAGAGCTACAGCTTCGACTCCTACCAGCTGGAGGAGGAGGAAATCGGTAAAGATGCCCCGGAGCGAGGAGTGCTGGCTCTGTCCGAGCCCGGTGAGGGAGTTTCTCTTCTGACTATCTGTGTGTGTTTTTTATATACAGACAGAAAAGGAACAGAGAAAGAAGGAAGGACAGAGATAGATGCATCGACAACAGCAATTCATCAAAGTGAAAAAAGACCGCAGAAATATCCTTCTTCTAATCCAGAGCAACAGGAAAAACAAAGTGTGTTTAGATACATTGAAAATAGTCAAGGCCAAGGGTTATTTCACTGGTTTAATTGTAAATTTAGAATTTAATTTGGTCATTATTTTGACAGCTCTGCCTCACAGTATGCTTAGTGGTGCACCACCTGCACAACATTTTTACATTACATCCAATATGTAAATAGAATATCATGAGCATATGTGCAGTAATATAATCCATATTTACATCCAGTAAGTCCTGGGAATTATGGTGAAATAGTGGTGTCAAATTCCACATTACTAGTATCTTCTTTGTACATACTTGCCTTGTTATATATAAGTAACACCCTTTTTGGAAGGTGTTATATATATTCAATGTATATACGTAATATATACGTGATATACGTATATTTTAAAGAAAGCCCTGCATAGCATGTTTGTAGAGTTACGTTTTTCCTGAGAAACAAGAAAGGAAGAGAGGAAGAAAGGGAAGAGATAGATTTATCAGTGAGCAGAGGAATATAAAGATTATTTACACTGGAGCTGTATTTTTATCGTAACAATCTTATCCAGTCTTGTTTGAATTGTATTATTATATACTTTATATTACTTTATTATAGATGTCAACTAAAGCTAGAATGAAGAATATTTATTTGCAAAGAAATTTGTAGGCTATATACAGTATATACTTTGTTATAGGACAACTGACTGCACAGCTGGATTCATGAAAAAGAGACAGCAAATGCTAGCTTGCCCAATGAGTCAGAAGAATAAGATAACGTCAAAGCTAGTGATAGCATTAGCATGCAAAGCTAAATAGCTTGCTAGCTTCACCTTTCCAAATCGATGTGTTCTCCCAAATGTTGTGTTGTGAAGGGATAGACGGCTAATGAACATACAGCGCGATACATAAACAACATTATGTGTTGAAAAGGAGACAAAACATCTTGTAGTTGATTGCACATCTCCTACACGTTCTTAAATGTCAGTCAGCTGCTAACATAAATGTTTTTTTCCTCAGATAAAAAAAATGGAACTTTATGCTCAATAGCTGCAGCACCATCATAGTTTATATTTACATACACAGTAACAAAGTTGAATTAAAATTTCAGTTCCTCTTTAAAAACATTCCTGAAAAAATGAAAAACTGCACCAAGGACAAGTCAACACATTGGCATATGGTAAAATAAGTCAGGCTGAACTCTGTGAAAGACATTTTGCAGTGTGTGTACATGTGTTTGCAGATGGTGGTGGAGGCTGAGAGAGTAAAAACAGTGAGACAGAAAAAGAAAAAGGCAAGAAGCGTATATAAAACAACAGGAGACAAGCCTGTTAACAGAAAATTGCTGTGTTGCCTGGTTACTCAGGTTGTACAAAGGGTATGTTAATCAGATCACAAGTGAACAAGGATGCACAGCGAGGGCCCTAGATTGACAGAAACCTCTCTCTTCCTCCTGTCTCTTCATCCTTTGCTTCTGTCTCTCTTTTGTCCTGCAGCTGTCAGTCTCCATATCTCAGTCTACAACCAACAAAAAAGAAGTAGTATCTCCTCAGAGACAGTCTGCCTTTTCCCTTAAAGAAAAATACTCAGAGATGTGGAAAGGCAGATTCAACGACTGAATTAATCCTAGACTGTCATTACAGTCCTGCACCTACACTACTACTACACTACAATCTGTGGTTCTACTAAGGGACTGTACACAAATTAGCAGGGAGTGTGTCTGAAAAGTGGGAGGCTGGTGTCATTTTTATGTTGGCTAAAGGTAGATTGTTTTTACTTTTTTTTGAAAGAGCAGGAGAGAGTCTTATTTTTTCTCATACTAAATTTATATATTATTTCAGCTCTGTATCAATGTTTTATTAATGTGTACACTGGTAATGCACATTGAAGTTCCATTAAGATATAAGATATATACTTTTATTAGTATTAGTTTGACATGTTGTGTGGAGGGTTCAAAGAAAACCCTGGAGAGGATCTTGCTTGTTCACCACCCAAATACTTTTCATACGGTCACTAAACATTAATGTCATAAAGGGAACATCCACCATAAAACACCTCCATATTGTCAGTTTCTGCAGTCACACAGTGTGGGTGGTGCTGCAGTGTCTTCTTCTGTCACGCTGTGGAAGTTCACTGATCATGCTGACTACACAGGAGCAAATCTGCTGCTTTGAGCCTGAACTGCTTCACTTCCTGTGTGTCAAGAGTTGTTTTGTTTTAGCCCAGAAACCACAAACTGTATGTTGTGTATGCATTGCCATCGCATTTATGGTTATAATAATAAGAATGTATTTAATGTGTAATTTATTTTATTTATTTATTTATTTGACATTGCACAACAAATATGTTACACAAGACAGAGATAGCTTTAAGCTAATTTTCATCTGTAGTCCCTGGGCAGAGGCAAAATGACAGCAGGTTTATACAGTGGACAAAGAGCATTCTTACTAGTAATAAAATAAAAATAAAATATAATAAAATAAATTTAAAAAATAGCACCAACTGAAGAATCACCTCAACAAACAGAAAAGTACAATATTTATAATAAATTTCTATTCCAATTTTTTTTTCCTTTTTTTCTTTCTCCTTTTTAATTACTGAAGAGCTAAGTACAGGTCATCTCCCACCAGCAGATGAACAGGAAAATATTGCAATAGTCTCACTTACCATAATGCTAAACTACATAAAGCATTAGCAACTGAAATAAATAGTCTCAAATTCATGGTTTACTTTTAGTTTGCTGTTAAATATAATGCTCAAAAATCACTGTTAATGGTGGCTCACAGGATTAGGAAAGGATTATGAACAGTTACATAAAGAACGTGCACATCACACTTTAACCATGAAACGGAATCAGCTGCAGAACAGTCCAGTTTTCAGCTGAAACTACTTGGGCAGCTAGTCCATAATCAGCAATTCCTCTGATCGATATTCCACCAACACTGCAGGAACAAGGTCCTCTGCTGTATTAGCTGCTCCATCAGTGGGGCAGTTGCTGCTGCTGCCGCTGCAGCTTGTTTCGTCATGATTAGCTGTAATGAAGATCAAGTGCTTTGGACCTAATTCTGATGTCTTGAAGTAATTTCTATCCCCACTGTTTGTTAGTTACTTGTTGAATTCTCTAACCCTTGACTCTCTCCTTCCCGCTCAGACTTTGAGGAGCCGATCCCTGATGACCGTTACCATGGCATCTACTTTGCTATGCTATTGGCTGGAGTGGGTTTCCTGCTTCCCTACAACAGCTTCATCACTGATGTGGACTACCTGCACCACAAGTTTGAAGGTATAAACCCATGCACGGGCTTACAGGACTGCACCATACAGAGAATGCATGAATCTTATAGACACGCTATGCACACCTGGAGAGAATACATTCAAATCCAACTCCCAGGAGTCATGGCGCTCTTGTGTTGCAGGGACGTCCATAGTGTTTGACATGAGTCTGACCTACATCCTGGTGGCTCTGTTGGCCGTCATCCTCAACAACGTGCTGGTGGAGAGACTCAGCATGCACACCAGGATCACTGTGGGTAAGTCAGATGGGAATCCGCTCACAGACAGAGCTCTAATTGAGAAACATTTCTCATTATGGGTACTTCTGCTGTTACTCATTTATTACTGTAATGACTCTCTGGGAACCTCAAGGCTTTTCAGAACAGAATACGCAGAGTGAAAATGGAAAGACAGAATAAAGAGAAAGTTCTCCTCTGGTTTTTTATTCATAAAATGTTTCATACAAATTTTGCCAAATACATTGAATTCACAAGGGGCTGTCTTTCAAGAGTGCATTTTTTATCTGTTTTTCTATTACCTTTTTAAAAATCTTGCATCATCTTCAGTTTTGTTTTCAGCTTTCAGAGCATAAACTCACTGTGCTATTTAAGATACAAGTGTGTACATTCACACAGATTTTGCATCAGGTTTGTTAAAGACGAAGCCTGATACTGGCGAGATTTAAATGTGGCCCAAAATTATTCATTAAAAAAAAGTTTTTTGATGCTACTGCATGTCTTTGCATTGTAAAATAAGAGGCTGTGATACTGGAGACTAACATAAAGAATATTAAAGCTGTTCAGTGTACCCAATATAAAAAAAATATCTTTGAGTAAAATTGAAGAAATGTTCTTTAAAAATGTATGTCCCTAGGAGACGTGTGATATCACAACATGTAAGAGCGAGGTTTCACCATCATACCCTCTGCAGCTTATAATAGCTCCTCTTGCATCCTTAAGGAAACGTCTTTGAAGTGTGTTGTCTGCTCGAGAGCTTGTCTCCCGAGTTAATAAACTCAGGGATAGACTTCAGACGAAAGTAATATTGCTTTCACGTCGGCCCTGTCAAATATGTGTTCAGTCATGCAATCACAACGTGACCTGGTTCAGTGGCGTAACCTCACTGTCCGTCCGTCTGTCTCTTTCTCTGCAGGTTACATCTTAGCTCTCGGGCCACTGATCTTTGTCAGCGTGTTTGATGTGTGGCTGGCAAAGTTTACCACCAGGCAGGCTTACATCGTCAACCTCGTGTCAGTGGGAGTGGTGGCCTTTGGATGTACAGGTACTACTAATAATAATACTTCTATACGTCTGTCTGTCTGTCTGTCTGTGTTTTTTTGTATGAAAATGCTCTAAAAACACATTGTATTCTACCTGCTCAGCACCAAACAGCTAACAGACACAGTTTGCAACTAGCTGGTGAACATAGTGGAGCCTTTAGCAGCTAAAGGGCCAGATATTTTTCTCAGCAATTGGTTGAGACCAATAACAGAACTAAAACAGAGTGATTATTGGAGTAACATTCATCAGCTGGCCAGAAACACGACTCCAGATGAAAGCTGATGTGTTTGCTAACATAGTATTATAATGCAGTATGCCGATATTGTGTTTACAGCTTGCAGCCCTTAACTGGATAAAAAAAATTATTATTGCAAAATGGCGCTGCTCCATTAAACTCTGCTCTTACAACTTCAACCCACTTCCCACTGTACAAATCTATATATTTCGAAGCTCTCTGAAAACAGTCAAAAATCACAAGCTTTCAGAAAGGTCATAATTACTGTGGGTCTGTTAGACTTCAGAGAATAAGAATGCACTGCATTTTAAAATTGTTGATGATTTTCTGTCCACCTCCTGTATACACACATACGGAGTGTAATGCAAAATTTCAGAGCTCATGGTGCTCTAACTAATTATAGTATCTGTCAGAGTTATGAAATGAACAAGCTACAGAGTCCTCCGCTGCTGTTGATGACTTGCAGATACTGAGGCAGTTTCCTTGTTGTTACTATGAGTGTGAACACAGAGCCTTTCTGCCAGCAGTAGCAACAGTTTGATTAGCGGAGGTCCAGAGGTCAGAGCGGCTTCTCTCGAGTGGCGTGTGGAGGTCCAGAAAGCTGTGTTTCTAAATAAATTGTGTTGTTACAGTGTTGACTGATGTGCACTGATAACCGCTCCCTCATCCCTCCTCAGTGCAGCAGTCCAGTTTCTATGGTTACATGGGGATGCTGCCCAAGAGGTACACGCAGGGGGTGATGACAGGAGAGAGTAAGTAAGCTCAAACAGACTATTAGTTGCACACACACATCCCTACTCTCATTCTCATCTCCTCCACCCTCTCTTTCTCTGTCTTCTTCTCCTCTATTCTCAACCATTTCTTAACTCGTCCCTCACCTGCTCTCCTGGTACTTTCCCTCTCAGGTACAGCAGGAGTGATCATCTCCCTGTCTCGCATCTTCACCAAGCTGCTGATCTCAGACGAGAGGAGGAACACGCTTATCTTCTTCCTCGTCTCCATCAGCATGGAGATGCTCTGCTTCCTGCTTCACCTGCTGGTCCGCCGCTCCCGATACGTCCGTTACTACACCAACCACGCCCAGGGCAAAGGCCCGGGCAAAGGTCATGACCCGCGTGACAGCGGGACGGGATACCGGGTTCACCATGATGTCACCGCAGAGGAAGTAAGATTTGTAAGTTTGTGGACAGTTTCTTGACTATATGTGAGTGAATATACGGAATGTTTATTTTTAGCCATTCTAGTAGCGTGGCTCTGTGGATGCCAACGTTGGTCCGTCAGTCAGTCGGTTGATTCACTACTTCACTCCAGACAAAAACTATTGGATGGATTGCCATGAAATTTATTACATACATTCAGGCCCTGTTTAGCATGAACTGTAATAACTTTAGTGATCCTTTAACTTTTAATCTCGCACCATCATCAGGTCAAAATGTTAATTTGTCCAGTACTTTGGTTTATGACCAAATACCTGCAAAACTAATGACTCCCATCAGCCTCAGCTTTCTCTGTGTTTAGTTAGCACATGTTAGCACGCTAACACACCTAATTAATGTTGATGTTATACTAAGCACTACTGTGCCTACGTACAGCCTGAAAGAGCTGCAAGCATGATGATAGTTTTACTATATAGTAAAGTATATTTAAGTTCTAATTGTGAAATTTACGCTCTGTATAGTGCCTTCAACATATTCACAATGAAATGAAAAAAATGCATCCCTGACACATACCATACCTTCTGCTAACAATCCCACAATGCAACGCATGATGACTAACTGACCTTTACATGGGGAGAAGTGAACAAGGGCTTTGGTATGCAGCTAGTGTCTGCTTGTCATCTATCCATCCATTATATACAGTATACCGGCTCATCCTTTAAAGGGTTGCAGTGTTTATATTTTAGACATTTTACTTCAATTGTGATTTAGCAGGATTTTTCAAGTTAGATTGAGACTTCGACTCTTTGACTCCATGTGGAGTGGCAGCAGACTTTCTCATTAAAATTTCTTGTGCTTGTGTCATTCCTTCATAAATGTTGCAACAACAAACTGTTTGTGAACCAGGACGGGGAGGAAATGTCAGGCCTCAAACTGTGGTGTCATGCAACTCCATTTCCTTGTTGGTTTATGTGCCGTTTCAGTGCGGGTGTGCCCACAGCGTTTGAGGGCTGTGTGTGTTTTAAAATGCAGAATCATTTATTTAAGATGCGGACTGCTTTTTGGCTACCACTCAGAAAGAGAAAGATTGAGAGAGACAAAGAGAAAGGGATTTTGGGAGGGGTTATTAGGGTTGAGGTATGCAGGGAGTGGTGTGGGTGATGTAGGAAAAAAAGATGGAGACAGATGGGAGTTTTTGAAAGAAAGGGAGAGGTTGAGAGAAAATGCAAGGAAAAAATTTGGGAGAAAACTGTTGAGGCCAAGAGGCTAGATGGAGAAGGGGGGAGAGCGAGGGATCATCATAAAAATGAAAAACACAACTGAAGCAGAGCTTTGTAGCCTGAAGACGTGAAGCTAAAATTCCTCATCACACTGTGTGTGCGTGTTCAGAGCCTTCAAAGGAAGACACATCACCTCAGGCTGTCATCTTTTCATGTATGTGTGTGTGTTTGTACGCAATTACACACAGTGTTTGAGGGATGTCCCCCCTGTATTTTACAGTCAAGTGTGTGTGTGTCTGGAGGCTGATTCAGGCAGCTCTTTGTTCTGTTTACCAGGGGAAACCAAGGCAGCGCTCTATATTATGAGATAATCAAGAAGAGTAGTGCCTTCTGGCCTGCAAGTCCCTCTAATCAACTAATGGATTATTGTGTGTGTGTGTGTGCATGCGTGCGTGTGTGTGCGTGTGTGTGTGTGTGCGTGTGCGCACGTGTGTGTGTCTATTGCTTGTGCACACCTGTGTGCCTGTGTGATATGCATATGAAAGTGTGTGTTTGGAAAGTACAACTAGAATGATGTCCCTATATGTTTGTATAAAGATAAAATGTGTGTGTGTGTGTGTGTGTGTATGTGTGTGTTTGGCTTATTTGCAGTCCAGTGTGTACTCTCTGTAACATCATTACGTCAACCTGCAGCCACTTACAGCCATCCTCTATAATAGCCACTGCCATAAAGAGCTGATGTCATGCAGTCAGGAAGCCATTACTAATTTTTTTTAAAAACCCTGAAAAGATCAAACCACCCCAAGAGAATATGTTCATTTACTGTGTGATGGCTACCTCTAGTGTTTTCTTAATGAACTGTTAATGTGCTTCAAAAAGCCTTGACACTGTTTTCTGGAAATGAGAAACAGAATGACGATTCCCCGCTTGATTCGATCATTTGAAATCAAAGGGTTGATGTAATGTTGATGACTGGCCTTTTTCGGTCTGCCATCTGTCTGTTTTATTAAAAAGTCGCTCTGCGTGTCTCTCTTCAGGGAAATAGTGGAACAGGACCGTCTACTACAGAGGAAGGCATTGAGGACATTGTTGGTGGGATGTACGTGCGATTTGACGCCCCTACAGCCAAGATAAGGAAGAGCTGGCCCGGTGTCCGCGGTACTCTCTGTTTTAATCCCGTGCACTCACTGCTCAATTACCCTCTGACTCTAACAGATGGATTTGAAATTTAAATGCATTCCCCGGTGATTATTGGGAAGAGGAGGGTGTTCTTACTGAATTAACATGAGAGCATTAGGTTTTTAAACATCGCCTGTGTGTGTGTGTGTGTGTGTGTGTGTGTGTGTGTGTGTTTGTGTGTGCCTTCTCTAACCAGACATGATCTTGCATCGTTACGTGGTGTCCCGTGTGATCTGGGCCTACATGTTGTCTATAGCGGTGACCTACAGCATCACTCTGTGTCTGTTCCCCGGCCTGGAGTCAGAGATACGAAACCCAACCTTGGGGGAATGGCTCCCCATCCTCATCATGGCCACCTTCAACATGTCTGACTTTGTTGGCAAGGTGAGGTCACATGTTTTTTAAAACTGTAAAGGAGACTAAGAGATGTGGAGATGCTAGAAAAGATAATATAAATACAGTATCTCACAAAAGTGAGTACATCCCTCACATTTTTGTAAATATTTGATTCTTTTCTGTCTTTTCATGTGTCAACACTGAAGAAATGACACTTTGCTACAATGTAAAGTAGTGAGTGTACAGTTTGTACGCATAACAGTGTAAATTTGCTGTCCCCTCAAAATAACACATCACACAGCCATTTATGTCAAAATCGCTGGCAACAAAAGTGAGAACACCCCTAAGTGAAGAAGCGTCCCCACCTCTTCTGCTTATAAAGCTTAAATGCTGTGAGTGCAATGTAATGACTGAATATTACTCAGATTTACAGTTTTGATTGGATTAACTTGATTTTGGTGGTTCGACAGTAAAAGGACACGGATTAGGGATCATTTTAGTGAATAACTCAAATTGAAATTGTAAAAGTGAGGTGGACATGCCCCCCATCCATGCCCAGAGGAAGTTATGCCCTTGCCCTCAAATATAAATACATTTTGATTAACTGGGATATCGTATCATAATTTTAACATTAACCTTGACTTTTGCATTCTGCCAAAATGTATCTGGTTCTTTGTAATCCCAGAAAATACTGGAATGACCCCCTTTCATTTCACAATCCCTGAGATTACAGGATTTAATTGTACATCAGGCTTCTTGGTGCTAAAGAAGCAGGAACAAGACAAAGTCACACTCTAACACTGGAGCTGACCTTGGAGTGAAATTGTTAGATGAGCGGCTCCATTTATTAAACCTGTGAGTAAGGATGGAAAAAAAGTCTGGTTTATTTTTGGATAATTGTACTTAGCTCAAAGGCTTTATCTGAACATTCAGAAATTAAACCTTATCTGGTGTGCTTAAGACATCATTTTGACTTTAAAGGGAAAAAAGTTGGCTCTGATTGTTGCTTTGACTTTGTCCTTGTAGCATTTTGTTGAAATTGGGGGGGAAAAGAGAAGGAGGTGGATGAGAAATTAAATGGAAAATGGGAAAGGAAAATTAGAGGTGTTAGAGCATATAAGTAAAAGAGTGATGACAAGAAAGAGCAGAAATCTCTTTTTTGGATATTTTGATATACAGTCTATGATTTTGATTTATTGTTTAGTTCTCTGACAAGTGCCAGAAGCAGCAAGTAGACGAGGGACAGGGTCAAATGTTCAGAAAAGCGCATTTCCTTTTAAATTTTAATACTTTTCATAAGTTTCATAAAATTTCTGCCAACAAAGCAGAAGAGATTTTTACCCCCAGCATCACTGTAATACCCCCCCTCTTTCCTCAGATCCTGGCAGCGCTGCCGTACGACTGGTCTGGAGGCCGCCTGCTCTTCTTCTCCTGCCTGAGGGTGGTTTTCATCCCTCTGTTCGTCATGTGTGTGTACCCTGCGAACGCACCCACCCTGTCCCACCCTGCCTGGCCCTGTCTCTTCTCCCTCCTCATGGGAGTCACCAATGGCTACTTCGGTTCTGTGCCGATGATCCAGGCTGCTGGCAAAGTGCCGCCCGAACAGAGGGAGCTGGCAGGTAAGAGTTATTCAACTGCTGTTTGAATACATCATTTTGAGCTACTTTTTCTAATGTTTCACATACAAACACTTATACATTGCTCTAACAAATCATCAAGAGATCAATTCATCATTAGTTGCAATCCTATTAATTTTTAATTACTTTTTTCATTTGACATGCCTCCTACCCCTGCTGGTGCTGACATGCTAGAGATTCAGTGCACAGAAGAAATAACAGGTCATGTGATAAAAGTGTGGTTTTAAGTAATGTTTCACCACACAATGTGTGTATTAATGGAGAGAAAACAATACAAACAACCAGCACCTGGTAATCCCACAACGTATAATTTTTACACACAGTTTTTGTCAAACAAGATATAGTTAGTGAGCTATAGAGGTGCTGGTAGGTAGATTGTTATCTTTGGACAGAGCCAGGCTAGCCCCCATGTTTCATATGCTAAGCTAACTTACTGCTGGCTGTAACGTCATATTTAACATAAAGAAATGAGAGGGGCATTGTCTCTCTGAACTAACTCTCAGCAAGAAAGCAAATTAGCATATTTCCCTAACTGTCAAACAGAATTAAAATGAACAGCAACCCAGGATCACAAGATCATTTAGGTTTAAAGGTTTTACTACTGAAACAGACTGCAAAACATACATACAACAGGCTGGACTAAGATGGTGAACATCGTAAACATTATACAACATACAAACATCTGCACGTTAGCATAGTCACTGTAAGCATACTGACATTAGCATGTAGCTGAAAGGCACTCACAAAGCTGCTAACGTGGCTGTTACTGTCTTACATGCTACTCGTAGTCCCAGCGGTATCTCTTGTTCAAAAATACTACTCACTCTGGATAAGCTAGTTCTCTATTCCACACTCAGTCCAGACCCATTCTCTGCTGTCTCTGTGTTTCTCCAGGGAACACCATGACAGTCTCCTATATGACGGGCCTTATGGTGGGCTCCGCTGTGGCGTACGCAGCTTACAGCTTCACCGTTCCTGAATCAGGAACACGCATCTCCACACTCAACTTACACCCACCTGCAAACGCTACCGGGTATTGAATGTCCACACACCTGAATAAAACACACACACACACCAATGTAACACACATACATGTACACACACCTGAAGCCATTTACACACATGAGGCCAGGAGAAGCAGCTCAGACTGATGGACTCATGTCCTGCACCAGGGGACGAGAAGAACTCTTTAAAGAACTCTTTAAAGTTTATAATCGGAGAGATTAATTCTTGCTTCGATTTGGCTCTTTGGATAAATAAAGTGGAATAAGAGACAGAAAGTGGGATTGAGGCCCCATCCACACTACTCCGTTTTTATTTAAAAACTAAGTTTTAAAATGAAAACGATCTCTGTCCACACCAGTGTTTTAGCTGTGTATCAGAGTTGATCTCCGTCTATATTAACAGCTGAAAACACACATCTAGTGGCCGTTCACTCACACTGGGTGTGCATGTGACGGTGTAAACATGAAGCAGATAGCAGATGGTCTACTCCGTAGTTACAGAAGATTTGGCAAAAGAATAAAGAAATACAGACGAAGAACCACACCAGATAATTCTTATACATGGACCAACAACGAGCTGGATCTGTTACTGAATGTAACACGGGAATTAAAAGCAACTGTGGCGGCGGAAAACAGACTGGAAGTCGTTGCAAAGTAAATACGGTGAAATGCAGAGTACAAGTGTAGGCTATTCATAGTTTTCAGTCACGTGACATGCGCGGTGACCTGGAGGGCAAAACAACTGACTTACATAGTGGCTCACACCGCGACTACCCCCTACAGACGCTGCAAAAGCAGTCAAATTTTATTTGGATCACCTTTCAACTTAAAAAAAAGAAAGATATGAACACAAACTGTAAGTGTTGGACATATCCAATCCATGTAACGTTACAGCATCCGCTGACGCATTGCTACCATTAAAAAGCATCAGGTCCCTGCCGCCGCTTGACTGCGGTAATGTTTAGCCTACTTTTACTTTCTGAGCCTTGTCTCCTTCTCGATAAGTAAACAACCATCCAGCATTTCCAGCTACTCAAAGTAACAGTGTATCACTTGTTTACTGGTTGGCAGGCAGCGGAAAATAACGTATTTTTTGCCCTTCATGGGAGCATTTTCCTTGGAATGTGACCCCACGTGAAAATTATGAATAAAATATTTTAAGAAAAATACCAATTAAAAAACTCTGTCAGTGGCATCATGTTTTCTGCTTTGCATGACTTAAAAGACCCTATCAGAGATCTAAACGTGAGCGTCTGCATCATCGTTTCTAAAGTCCTTAATTTTTGCCCATCAGCACCAAAACACTACCAGAGTTTTAAAACGAAAAACGGTGTCGGCAGCGTTTTCAAACTTTGCTGTTTAGGTCTTCGTTTTCGCCGTTTTAGTCTGAAGGTGCAAACGTAGCAAAAGGTCTCAGTTTTAAAACCAAAATGTAGTCGTGTGGATGGGGCCTTAGTAGTGGAAGAAATTATGTTAAACAGTGCAAACGTAGCAGGTTTCCCACTCTCTCAGCCTGCCCATCTGGTGACCTTCAAATGTGTCAGTTCTGCTGTTGTGAACTTTACTCTCGAGGTGAAGAACAGGAGCGCAGCCAGCCAACAGAAGCTCTTTGAGTGTCTCACAGTGAAATTATTGTCTGCATGTGTGTGCCAACAGACCGACTGACATTTGTACAGTGTAAAGCCAAGTGATGTTTTGCTGCAGGCAACGAAGGAGGAGATGTTGTGTCATAGGTCACTTATGTTTCATACATTTAATGATTTCTCAGAACTGTATTCAGAATAGAGAGATGCTGCCAGTGGGAATTCTTCTGGGCCAGTTGTTTCAGCTCTTTTCTTTCCTCTGCTGAATATATGATTGAGGCCTTTTGACAGTGAGTTCCATCCATAGTGATTTGATTCAGATGTTTGATTGAACTCGTCTGATTGCACCATTTAAAAACTATAAAACTATACAATAAAAGCAACTTACACAGAGCCACATTTAATTGACAGTGAAACAAAAGTCGGAGCGTGTTTAGCTCCTGAAATGTGACGTATTTGCGGTTATAGTGGAATCCTAACCACAATGTTGCTATGCTAGCTGCTACAACCCACTAGCTAATGGTCAAGTGTGGTTTTATATGATGGGCGTTGTTAGCGAGTCACCCAAAATCACATTTGCTTGGACACATTTATGTATATCATAATGTACAGGAAGGAAAGAAGAGGGCATTTGAATTACATGTATTTTGTCTATTAGGAGTGATTACTGAACAGTTCACATTTTTTATTTTACTGTGCCTTCAAAGGAATTATAGTTTTCCATTAATGACATGCATTGACAAATCACCAGTTCATCTTCAGCTTGTTCATCTCATTTGAACTGGAAAAGCTTCAGTTGTATTTAAGTATTAAGAACATTATTCTTATCAGTTTTACATAGTCTGAAAAGTAACTAATGGAAGAATAATCTTAAACATCATGTAGTTATAAAGATTATTTGCATTAGCAGCTGCTGTCCCGCATTGTTTTTATTTACAATAATGCTAAAAGAAGATGAGAATAATTTGATATCTGTGTGTTCAGTGACTTTCACATCACTTCTTGTGCCCTCTGATGGCTGGAAAGAGAACAAAATGTTGGTGTGAATTTACCGGACGTGGTGTGAAAAAAACACAGCCGTGTCTTGCAGTTGTTTTTTAAATAGTTAGTGTCAATCTGATCAGTGTTTGTGTGTAAAATCCATGTAATGATGTGATGGGATACTATGGGGAAACAAATTAGTGCCAAAATGTCTGATCACTGTTAGTAGCAAGAGAAAAGAGTTTATGTAATAAACAGTTTAACAGAATGAAAGTTCTAAATATATAGAATGAAATGCTCTCAAAAGCAGTGAATTTTATTGTACATTATTTTCATGTGAAAGCCTCTGGAAGATATGACATTCGTATTTTTGTAGAAGTGAGCACCTGTTTCCTTTATTTTTTCAACACAGCACTGAGCGGCCTCCCCAGAGCCTTAATTCCTCCACGTTTCCTGTTGGATTTGATGCATTTTTCAGCAAAGTTCAGAGTTAATACATTATGAAGAAAACAGGCCAGTCAGTGTGGAAAACTACATTATGTAGGTGAGCACTTGAATGGAGCCTAATGTCAGCGCTGGCTTAAGAATGGTAGAGTGCCATTTGGGAGTTAACCTCATTACTGTATGTATGTCCTGCCGTGCTGATGGTGCCATACAGCCTGCAGGCCTCTCTCCTCTCAGTGAGCTGCTGGGTTTGAAGGTGTTTTCAGTTATTTTTGGTCAGAAGTGTCATTAAAGGACATGAAGTCTCTTTACTTCTCTTTTTTTTTCTCTCTCTCTTATAAAAGGCCATTTGAGAGAAGGGAGATCCCGCTTTCAAACAATTGCACCTTAAATCAATATTTTGGAATACTGGAATCAATATATTCCAGTCTTTATGCTACGCTAAACTAACCTCCTGCTGGCTCCAGACATGAATGTGGTATTTATCTTGGCAAGAAAGTGAATAAGTGTATTTCACAAAATGCCAAACTATTACTTTTAGATAAATAACTCACTGTGGTGGCAGATTATTTTACAGGCTTAATGACAGTTTGTTGTATAAAATAAGGAGCAAGCAAGTAAGATTTTCTAAACAGGTTATCTTATCATGAAAGTTTTTTAAACCAGCATAGTGATCTGCCAGTGCAAAAAACAAGTTTAAACTGCAGTGGAGAAAGTCCTTCAGTATTGAACCATAAAGAAATTTCGATCTGCTTAAAACAGACACTTTCAAACCCTATTAATGACCAACTGTAAGAAAGACTGTATGCACACTGGTGATGAATCATTCATCATTTCAGTACATACTTTTGGTGTTAGCTGACACTTTTATCCAGAATGACTTATGATGATGAGTTTAACAGAAAGAAAAGCACAGGGAGTGTAAAGGTGCTCTAACAAAATGTGTCAAGAAAACACCTGAAACAAGAGGCCGAAGGAATATTTGGATGGCATTCAATCTCCAGACGCATGCAAATAAACATCTTCTAATTCTGCACATTATCTCATCCTCAAGGTCTGGTATCTGTCCTGTCATGTGACTTCCTGTTTCTGCTTTTTACATCAGCAACAGTCTGTGATAACATTTATTTTCCTCCCTGCTGACAGCAAAGAATTTCTTCAGAAACCATGTCATGCTGACTATTTTAGACTGAACACTGAAGTGACTGCACACTGTGAAATAGCAGTAGGGTGTAAAAAGAATGCATACAGACACTACACTGTATATTATGTATATATCTAGATTCTACGATAACATACAATATTTTGCAGATGATATTTGTGAAAAAGTATAAGATCCTGACGTCCACGCTCATAATTAGGTGCAGTGAGCTAAATTTGGCCTTTTGGGGGGAGGAGGGGGAGGGGGTGTCTAATCAGCTTTTGATGTGCATATAACTAACTGAACAACCAAACAGACCACACACGCCTGGTTTCAGGAGTGGGAGGACAGTTATCTTTAGCTCTATTATATCAATATGAGACCTAAAGGTGGACCAGGATGTGGAGAAAATTCCGCTCTCAATGTTTAATTCTTAACACTGTTTATAACTTTGCGACTAATATCATCCCCCAAAACTTGCTAAGTTGTCGCAATATTCTACAATGATCTGAACTGAAATGTTGTTTTATTGTAAATATGTTCATGTTGATTTCAGTTTAAGATGCTGTATTTTCACAAAACAGTCTGTTTGTGCCCTGCATTGTACTGTCATCAGAGCTTAATAAAACAGTTGTTTATATCTTTGTGTGCTTCCTCCATTTATATGTGTTTTTACATGGAAGGAGAAAATGTTATTTTATTTTATTTTATTTTATTTTTTTTACATCTTACGATTTAGATCAGAGCTCCTTTTCTTTCTGTCAGGAAGAGGACAGGAAGCCACCACATTTAGGCAAGTCAGATTTGTCCTGTTTAAACAGCTGCGAGCAGAAACCTCAACAAAACCTCACATCTCACTCCATAATTTTTATCTGAATTTTTGTCTTTTTTTCAACATGGATTCTCATCCTCTGTGCCATG